GAGGAGGAGGAGGAGGAGGAGGAGAGGAGGAGAAGGACGAGGACGAGGACGAGGAGGGGGGGAGGAGAAAAGTAGCTTTTTTGCTTTTAATAATCTGTCGATCGAAAGTTCAAATGAAAACTTGCTGTAGCGCTACTGAAGTGGTTACATTTGTATTCTGAAAGTGAAGCGGCGGCGTCTTTACTTAGTTATAATGTAAGAATAGTACAACAAGATGTTTAGCCGTTTATCAACGTCAGATCTTTCAATAATGGGACCTGATCCCTACCAATATTCATCGTGGCTATATATATTCAGTCCGATGGGTGAACCTCTTAGCCCAAATTTCCTGATAAGTTCTAACATCCTTTGAGAACCATGACCTTTATGTACCCAAGTCTATTTAAGGTCAAAGTGCGTATGGATTTATGCTAGACATACAAAGGTGCGGGTCAGGTTGCTGATAACGTTCGGGGGGGACTAGCTGGAGGCTCACATAATCGTCTGCTGTATGCTAAAGCTTTCTCATTCGACTTTTCTATTCGACATTTACGATCTTCCGTTATTCACGTCAGTTCGATGCGTGGCAAGACCACTCCAGTGTAGTGTGAATTTTTTACAGACAATGAATTTGTGTCTCTTTTTTCATCCCGTTGTAAAATTAGAGCTCTTTATACCAAATTACAGAACCCAGTCGGATGTGATATGGGAAGAAGGCGGTGGTGATGGATTGGACAGACATACTCTCTGGAAGCTAGGCGACTGCATAATAAAGAAAGTGTTGGATTGGATTCCCCAGGGTACGAAATCCACGTGGAACCTGGAGAAAAGTCATAGAGAATTATGTACAGGAAAGGGAGAAGACATGAAGCAATATCAAAAGTCTTGCCAGGAATAGAGAAATGTGAAAGTGTTTGTTCGTGGCCTAAACCCTGCTCCAGGGTACGAAAGACATTAATAATCATGATTATAAAATTTCTTATTCATTGATATAAATACAGAACTACTTGTACTTTGCATTTGATGATTAGGAGATAGTAAGACAGGCAGGAGCTATAAGACATGCCCCTAAGAAGTATTCACTACTGTTCAATTTTCACTAACCACACCATGGGTAGATCAAAAGCTCAACGATTGCAGCGAATGGCTCTGCGGGGAAATTAACAGTAGGCACAAACAATTAGCTACCCTTTCGCTTTTCGAAATTTAAAGCATAGTGAAGGATGATGTGAAGTCATTGTATTGCGCTGTGTTCGTGCCATCGTGCACTCGGTGAATAGCGCTGTGAATGCTGATTGTATGGAATGACGAATACCTGCGATGGACTTATATAAAAATACATTTCTACTTGGTATTCGAAGACTTCAGGCTTCAGTACGTTGATGAAGTTTCGTTGCCTCGAAATTGCACTGGCACTTCTGTGTGCCCGGGATCCTCTGAACTACACCAAACCAACTTGTATATTTTCTTTTAAACGAATTTAACCGTACTACAAACTCATAACTTTATCTTTGCGGATACCTGTTATGCCTGGACATTGCAGGCATTATACATGTTATGCATAATCCCATAAACTCGTAAAGCACTTTTGGTTTGGGAACCTCAAAGCACCTTGGATGCAATAATTCCGAAGAGTGCAATGAGAACGCAAGCTGAGACGCTTCAAGCTAAGAAAATGTGTTACATCACCACCCTAATG